ACATGCTGAGCCACAGCCACCACCCCCGCAAATTCTTGCATGTCCCCTTCTTGTGTGTTTGTTTGTTTTTCTTAATAATATTTAAATTGTGTTGTAGAATTGTGTGGTGATCCAGAAGTAAGACGGCTGTACCAATCAATAACAAAAACTGCAAGAATTAAAAACATATCATTTTAAAGAAAAAGGATAACCCTTTACCAACATTTATTTGTTTATTTAATTTCATTTATACCCCGCCCTCCCCGCATGCGGGCTCAGGGCGGCTTACAACAATATGGCACTCAGTGCAGTAAAACACAATAAAACGATTTAAAACAATTTAGTACAATGGGCAACGCCCAGGATCCCGCGTGACTAAAACCCTCTCTTCATATTGCACATGCCCTTACATCCAGAAGGAGGTTACTGTGGCCCCCGATGTTCAGTTTTTTTGTACCTAAGGAGCTGGTTTTTAACATCATTTTATAGTCTGCTCTTAGCTTGAGAAACGTTTAAGACCCATTTTAAGCGGCTCCATGTTTTATTTTCTGCTGTGTTTGAATGCCAGGTTTTAACAACTTCGATGTTTTTATTATGCTTTATTTTGTAAGTTACCCTGGAGAAGCAGCAAAGAAATTTTCTAAATAAATAAATAACAATAAAAGTGCCACAATACTCATTTCGTTTTGATAGCAGTAAACTATGACTACTCTACTGGAATTTGCACTGTTTCTTGTAAATCTCAGATTTTCTCACTCTGGCTTTTTCAAAAAACTATTGGTCTGCATCAGGATTTTTGTTATATACCTTGTTCCCGTCACTCTACCATGTATTCCAAGATAGTGGGGAGGGGAGCATTAATTTGCTATGGTGCCAAGTGGTGATTCCCTCTTGGGTCCTCCTGCCACTGCTAAGTCCTAATCTTAACAACAGGAAACTACTAAAAACCTAATTTTATGCATAGCTTCATCAGTCCTTTGAGTTCCACCCTACACTCAAACAAAGCCCAACTGTAAACCAAATTTGAAGATTCCTCTGAGAGCCAAACTACAGCCTAGAGCTCCATTCCCCTGAGCAGTTGCTAAGCACAATGTTCAGCAAATTGGCATTCTCTGCTCCTTAGCTCCAAATCACGAGGATTAGACTGCCATTAAACTAATTAAAATGTGTTTTTGTTGAATGGCTTGTCACTAACCAGTAGCTGAAGTTTCCAGTAAGACTATAAGAAGATTATTACTGTTGTGTTGTTTTTATTATCATCAGTTGATTGTTGCCTTTGTAGCACCTTTTTCACCTTTGCAGCAAAGATATTTATGAAAATTAAAACTGTTACTGTACCAGCTAGGAACAGAAGAAATGTTTAAAGCTTGTTCCCCTCTTGTATTTGAAGCAGAGTTATGACCAGAAAACTCAGTTTTTAGAAACTTCTTTCCATCTCTGCCATGGTAGTTTGTGCAGGCTTTCAGTTTTTAATCCTGCCAGATTGTCCTTGATTATTTTAAAAACCCACTGACAATACATGATAGCAAGCAAGCTGTTGGATAATACAAGGTATCTATTGTGACAAGCCCTGTTCCCATGTTACAGCTCTCTTTTTAAACAAACAAGATAGATTTTCCCCTGCATTTCCTTATTTCTGCTTGCTCCCCATACCCTCACCTTGGCAGGTGCAATAATGGAAAACAAAACAAGAATTGAGGACTACCTAATTTCTTTCTTTTTTTTAATGAAGATCAATACATGAGGGACACTCCAAAGATTACAACTATTTAGGAGGAACTCTGCAAAAATGGGTCAGTCTCATCCAGCAGGGAATCTTTTCTTCAGGGTTTGAATTTATATACTTTGCCACATATTCTTCCATCCATCTCATTCTTTTCCCCCCTATCAATTTCCTGTCTATTTCTACTGTGAAGTACAGCAACTTGTTTGAATACTTTTAAAAACTGTTTCTTCTCTGCTTTGTTATTCTGTTATGAATATTTGTGTGTATAAAATCCAGTGTTTAGAAGACTGTGACATTAGGTGTTAAAAGTTAGTTCAGCATGAAAGCTGGCATTGCAAAGACTTTTTAGACCAGGACGAACTAGTAATGATGAGATCTGAGAACACCAAGAAAGCAGGCTCAGCTTTATTACTCTGAAACCACACATTTTAGACCAGTGATAGTCACACAATCCCAACAGTCTTGTTGGCATTATAACGACTACCATTGTTCAGAACTGTTCTAATTAGAATTCGTGGATAATTTTATTTTTTCAACATGGGAAACGACTGTCAATACTTGAAAAGCCGGAAAAGGAAATTCTAAAATGCAAACATTTTAAAGTATCCAGCAGGACTAGTCCAGTGCTTAATACTGAAAGCAGTGATAAGAGATATATGCAATCTCATGTTTCTCTCCCCAGGACTGGGTTAACAGCATGATGGTCCCATAAGGGGACAATATTTTGCATGTTCTGATCCATACCCACCTTATTTTACACATCTTCATTCAAAGCTTCATTCATTCTCATTCACCACTTCTACTCTTATAATGTATTTAGCTGCTCTTGCTGGCTAAGCTGCTGGTTTTCTGTATTCTCTACCCCAGCTGAGAATACAGTCCCTGTCCCTCTATTTCATGGCAGCAAGGAATTTTATAAACACCAGATCCTGAAACAAAAGATACACATACAATCTCCACTATGTTAATGATGCCACACCAACACAACTATGCTGTTAAAGTGTATTGTTACTCACCTGTGAAAGTGTTGCCTATTTCCTGTCCCGTACTGGTGCAGAAGGTGAAGATAAAAGCAACGAGGATTCCAGACACTGAGATCCTTGTCATTTCTGCAATCTTTCTGTTCCCAGGGAACAAAAGAGCTTTTGGTATTGCGTCCAGGCTTTAGGAAATAAAAGAGAATTGTCTTGCCTTTCTCTTCTGTATGTAGGTAGAACAAACTGGTCTGAGAACAAAGAGAGATTCTTACCTGGGCAGGTTCATTAAAGCTTTCCCTATGGACTGCCTGCATCTCAATTACTGATCCTAGTCCTCAGCAACCTGATGTAGTAATTTACAGAATAACAACTGATTAAACCAGACTTACTTGGAACCAAGTTCAACTGGAGCAAATTGGACTTACAACCAACTGCTTAGCACTGGGGCTTCAGACTACAACTTAAGGGGGGGAGGGAGTACAAATGGGATGCATGGGTTAGAGGGGAGCTTCATTCCCCCCCCCCCCGGAAAAAGGGGATTTGAGCTGATAAAAGTCTCCTCCAACACCGCATTTCAAATGAACCTTTTGTTAGGGCCAACCAAAATACCACAGAGCCTTTTGTAAGCTCTTAATCAGGCCAGATGTTACAGAAGTTTAAAGAGCAAATTGTCCACGTCAAGATCTTAAAACCCTGCCTTGCCAATTTCTTTGGCATTCAAAAACCGTTTGAGTGCCATTTTGGTTTTACTAAACTTCCTAAAAGAAATCAACCCTGTCTATTCCCTGGAAGGCCAGATACTGAAGCTGAAGCCCAAATACTTTGGCCACCAAATGAGAAGGGAACACTCACTGGAGAAGACCCTGATGCTGGAAATGATTGAAGGTAAAAGAAGAAGGGGACGGCAAAGAAAGAGATGGTTAGACAGTGTTAATCAATGCAACGAACATGAAATTGAGCAAACTCCAGAGGACAGCGGAAGACAGTAGGGCCTGGCATGATGTGGTCCATCGGGTTGCGAAGAGTCGGACACAACTGTGCAACTGAACAACAACTTCACTATCCGAAGGAGTCTCAGAACAGCTTACAATCCCTTTCCCTTCCCCTCCCTACAACATACACCCTGTGAGGTAGGTGGGGCTGAGAGAGCTCTCTTGAGAACTGCCCTCTGAAAGAACTTATGACTGACCCAAGGTCACACCAGCAGCTGCATGTGGAGGAGTGGGGAATCTAACCCGATTCTTCCAGATTAGAGTCCGTACTTATAACCACTACACCAAACTGAGATAGTGAAAGAGTGGGCAAGATGACAATGCAGCCCAGAGAGCACTGTGTTCAGGGGCCCCAAACCAGCTGGCCTAGGGTTGCCAAGTCCTCACCTGTTGAAGAGTGGGGGAGTCCAGTCTTGTTATGGGAGTCCACGCATGTGCGCTTTGCGCACGCGCACTCTGGGTTGGGGCAACCATCAGCCGAGGGAAAACCATAGAGTTTTCCCTTGGATGATTGTGGCCCCGCCCCCAATGTGCCTGACGTGATTGCGTCACTTCTGGGTGACGTGCTGACGCCGGGCATGTCACGTGCTTTTGGGGTGGGATTCCCCCCGGGGCCTGATCCGCCAGCGGCAGGTAACGAGCCTCTTGGGCGGGGGTTTCCCCGCCCCACGGGGGGACTGGGCAAGCCTAAGATGGCCCTTCCAGGCCCCAAAGTTGCCAGGCTGGTGACAACCAGGGCCAGGGTCTTCTCAGTGGTGGCTCTGTACTGGTGGAATGAGCTCTCAGAGGAGACCAGGGCCCTGTGGGACCTTTTACAGTTTCGCAGGGCCTGTAAAACGGAGCTCTTCCACCAGGCCTTTGATTAGGAGCTGCACCAAACACTTGAGAAGTGACCCTGTGCCCTGGCCTACAATTTACAGCCTGTGCTCACCACATACATAATCGGACTAACTGAGCTAGTGTGAAAATGTCATCATGACTGCCACCTAAGTAGTACTGTTGAGCTTGAAACTTCTGCTCTTGCACTTTACTTGAATATTGCTTCAGCACTTCAGGATAACTAATATTTAATAGTTATGGTGTTTTTATCAATTATTTAAATTGTATTTATATATGTACTTTTATGTAAGCCACCCTGAGCCTGCCTTGGCGGGGAGAGTAGGGTATAAATTGAATGAATAAATAAATAAAATTAAATTTTAAAAGATGTAAAAGGGAACCACCATAATGTTTTAAGGCAGTGCTACCAAACATTATAGTAACCGATGATGTCTGCATGCAAACTCAAGAAGTGGCATGAACCATTATACTGTATGAGATACCAAGAGTAAGGTGATGCTATACAGTGAGATTGCCCCAACCACTCACTCAGTTTATTGAGACTAGTGCAAACTGCACCAGCCATTTCTGATATGTTCTGGGATTTAACCCAGGAAAAGCAGCACCTTTGTGTCAACATATTCTTAGGCTAAGGAGCTAACCATGAAGTGGTTTGCACCAAAGTGTTTCCATTTATCTAAACCAAAAAAAGGACCTGTATTTAAACAGATTTAGTGTGTGAATTGAAATCTAACCTCAAGATATATACACAGTCTGTAAAAAATATACCAATTGGTAATGCTGTTGTAGGTATTTAAGTGCTGTTACATTAACTTTAGGTTGCAGTACTCAATCACTGAGATAGAGTGCCAAATGTTATTATGTGGTCTAAAAAGTTCCTGTAATTATTTAGACTCTGTTTTCCCCTTTGGAATTGACCTGGCAGGAACTGGGAATGGGCTTTGGGCTCACATGCTCCCCTCATACACGTCTGCCATGCTCCTTTACCAAGAAGAAAACTATTGAACAAACTGGAATTGCTGTTCCATTTAGTCACTCACTTTCCCCTAGACACAGGTGGCATATGGGAGAAGGGACAAGGAAAAAATGAGAAAGCCTTAGAGCTGTTCTGGGCACAATACACACCTAAATAAAAGGGGAGACTCTTACTAAAACAGTTGCTAAGAAAGATGTCATGGGGTGAACATCTTCGTATGGGTGTGACTGAGAACTCCTGTTTTGTGCAAGGCACGCATGTGTTCTTTCATGTGATGATGCTATTAGCTTTATCCACCTTTCATTTTAATGTGTACTCATGCATGTGGGGGGCGGGGGGGAGAATCCAGAGCTCTCTGTGACAAAGTGTTGTTGTCCATGGATGATTCCTATTTTCAGCATTAGGTTGCATGTTCAAATTCTGAAGTGCAAAATGGCCTTAATCAAGTGATAGAAGAGGCATACTAGGCAAATCTAGAAGAAGAGTTTTTACATCCCTGGAGGCTGTCACTGCACTCCTCATTGCTGTGGTTACTACAAGAAATCATGCACAGTGCAGTGGGAACAAGTCCAGAGAGGTTTTCGGTAAAGAACTCTAAATAGATTGCCATCCATTTTGGAAAGCAGGAGATATTCTGAACAACCATTTGCACAATTTGTCGAACCTGGGATTTTTCTCATCTCAACCAATTTATCTTTCAGCCATATTATTGACAGGTTTTTTTTTTTAAAACCTTGCCTTGATATTTTTATCTGTCCCATTCTACTCATTTGTTTCACATCTGACGTTTGTTCTTTGGACCATTTGCAAAATTCTACTATCCAGACCATTCTTCTTTCCGTTTGCTTGACACTACAAAATATTCACATGAAAGCCCCCTTTGGGAGATGGACTAATGGTATAAAATGCTAAAACAGAAGTGCTGATACTGTCATCATGGCTTCTCTATTGAATATATGCAAAATGTAGGTCAGAGATTACCAAGTGGTAACTCATAGGTAGCATCTGGCTCACACCCTCATTCTATATGGCTCTCTCTCCATTCTGATTTTGTACCTTGGCACCAAACTCACTCCTGTTTAATATACCAGGCTCCCCTCATTTCCCACAATGAAACAACTGTGATGAAAAAACTAAATAAAGAGGTGCTGGGTTTCTGTCAAGTCTTTCTTATTTGCCAGTTACTTTTAATGAAACATCAAAATGACAGGTGGGGGAGAAGGGGGAACAGACGTAGAAACGTAAGAGGTGGCAAAAATTATTAGCAGTATAATTTCAAGGGGCAAAAATCTAATCTTGAACACAGAAGTAGTGGAGTGTGTGGGCATGAGTTTTTTTGTAAACATCCCCTTTAAATGTTCTTCTGCCCAGGTAACTCAAGGCTCTGCCTTTCACAAGCCTTCACCTAAGCAGCTCCCACAGCACCTTATTAACTTGTTTATTCTTTTCAGTCTTCTGCATTCAGGTCAAACACTACACAAATAATGATTACAAAAGCAAAGCCAAATATATTTATTTTCACAACTTTTAAATAGTATAAAGGTTTATAGAGTGCTGTTTTACTGCTGGTTTTGGTATTTAGCTATGCCTGTTAGTGACAATAGCAATTTCTGCTTTATGTGTTTAAATAGCCAAAGGCCGTATGAGCAACTGACAAGTAAATCTGGAGAAAGATTTTTTAGTCACCTAGGTGGTTCATTCATTTAACTAGCACAGAGCACAGAGGCTTGAAGGAAAAATTATTGTTTATGAAATGTCAGCAGCTGATCTTTTCATCTGTTAGTATACTGTGTTCTTTAAATGTTTGTTTCCAAATTATGTTTAAAATGGGCTCAATCAATGACACAGTTAATTAAAGCAAAATGTCAGTCAGAAGTTATTCCTGTATGGATAAGAAAGGAAAAGAGAGTCTGTGTCTAGGTTTTGCACCCACCACTAACTAAATGGAATGTGACCTGCTCCCCTGACAACATAAGCAGCTACTCCCAACAGATCTTACCCTAGCTAAAACAGATGAAGCAATTCCTTTTTGAGCAACTGTCTCATAGCTTTATTCAGACTTTAAATAAAACAAATGACAGCTCCCCCCCCCTCGAATTACAAAAATAGCTCATACTAAGGGACAGTGTAGCTATTTTCCTGGAAAACACTGATCTCTGCATAGGGTAGCCAACCTCCAAAAGGCATCTGGAGATCTCCAGACTACACAGATCCGTTCCCCTGGGGAAAACGGCAGTCTCAGAGGTTGGATCCTACAGAACTACATCCCTGCTAACTCATCCCTCTCCAAACTCTGCTGTTCCTGGGTTTTAGCCCCAAATC